GTACAAGCAGATCACATGGCAAGAGGAAGCAAGAGAGAGAGAGAGGAGATGCCAGGGTCTTTTAAACAACAAGCTCTCTCGCAGGAACTAATAGAGCGAGAACTCACTCATTAATCCCCCCTCCCCCAGGGAGAGCATTAACCCATTCATGAGGGATCCGCCCCCATGACTCAATCAGTTTCCAGCACTGCCACATTGGGGATCAAAATTCTACATGAGTTTTGGAGGGGACAACACATCCAAACTCCATCAATCTTGGGGAGCGTTAAAGGCACAGAGGAGAGTTAAAGCCACAGCCCAGGTCACTCTGGGAAAGCGCTGGCTCCCCTGGAGGCTGCTATGGAAATACCTAAAGGCCTGAGAAGCCAGTGTCTCCAAGAAGGGCCAAGGAAGGCCATCAGAGGATCACTCAGCGAGGCAGGATGGCCGTGTAGTTGGCATTTCAAGGAAACACACACACACACACACAGAGAGAGAGAGAGAGAGAGAGAGAGAGAGAGAGAGAACAAACCTGCTTGTTCAGAGATTTCAACCTGATAGGGGAGGAAAGTTATAACCCCAGGATGGGATCCTTGAAAAGGTGACAGCATGAGGGCACTGCACAAGGGCAGGTAGATGGAGAGGGATCGTGCTAAGCAGGGAAGCCCTCCTGGAGAGCAGCTCTCTCATTTAGGAAGGGTAAAGGGAAGTCACACCCCTTCCCTCTCCTCATCCCTCACTCTCACTAATCCCACCTCACTTGCCACAGGCCCAGGTCAGAGGTCACCCCTAGTACTGTAGAGGCCTCATGCCTCTGGTCATTTACTGAGCCCGGTGGCAGATCCCAGCAGGCGAGGCAGGTTGGAAGTGCAGACTCCTAGGCCAGCTCTTGCCAGGTCGAGAGTGGAGGCCACTGCTGCTGGGGCTTGGAAGAGAATCAGGACATGGTTTCTGACCTCAAAGCTCTTGCTTTCTGTCGGGGGAATCCAGATGCTACATTCCATGTGCCAATGTGGCTTTGAAGTAGGGGTGGGAATGATGTGTCTGGCTCAGGAACTGGTGAGCTCAGGGCCCGGGGCATCTTTACGAGACGAGCTGACTTCCCTAAGCTCCTGCTGCCACAGCCAAGGAGAACTGGCTGTGCCTTGTTCTGATCCATCCAGGAGGCAGGCCAGGTGGGCTCTGTCCCGTCTGTTCCCCCCTCCGCTCTCCTGTCAGGCCCCCCGAGGCGCATGTCCTGATGTGTCCCACTGTTAGTACCCTTGTGCTCTAGTCCGTTAAGTCTGTTTCTCAGCCCCACACCCAAGTCTGAGCTTTCGGCGCCTTCCCGGCTCTAGAGATTGAGTGTAGTTCCAGCCTCCAGGGAGTGTTGTCTTCAGGGCTCAACCCTGTGTTCTCGCAGCAAATGGGCGATGGGCTCTTTCAGGTATCAAGAAGCAGTGACATGCACAGGTCACCTCAGGTGATGGGGGCTTATTGTGAGGATATGTAAGGAAATAAGGCACCCATCTAGCTCTTAGCCTCACAGAGAACTGGATGATCATGGGGCTCTCAAGGGGCCCCAGCCACGACTTGCCTGCCCCATGTGCCTTTTGGCTTCTGCTTTGCTTTCCTGTCAGTGTCTCTTTAACTTTCTCTAACTCCCTAAGACGGAGGATCTGCCTGGGTTCCCAGGGCCAGACCCCCAGCAGAGCTGCCTCCTGGGTGCTGTTCAGCCTCTGGGTGGCCACTGCTGGCTCCAGCACACGCCCCACATGCGGACGTTGGTAGCTGGGAGGTGATGTCAGAGCGCACAAGGAATGGTGACCTGAGTCTAAGGATCCGCCTGAGGCCGCCTTCTTCAGATCGGGGCGTGCGCCAGGGTTTTAGGAAAAGCACAGGTAAGAGAGCTGCAAGTCGTGAGTCAGGCCAAAGCCACACAGCGCGTTGAGGGTCCTGTCAGGGCGTGGACCCTGGCTGAAGCTCTTCCTGATAGTGCTCAGCATGTCCCAAGACATTGCCACACGCCCTTCTCTGCCTGTGTGTGGAAAAGCTTCATGGACATTTCCCCACATGTTATTAGAGCTCCTCATCCACGCCCATCGAGGTCAATACGCTCGTCCAACTGGGAGCTGGAAAGGACCGTCAGGGTCACCTATACTGTGCTGAGCTGCCTGCAGTGCGGGATGCCCAGAGCTTTCTGGACCCAGCTGCCTGCACCAGGCCCCTTCCCCTCGCTGCGCCCCCCTTACCTTGTAAGGCCTTACATGGGGAAGGCAGGAGGCAGCCGCAACCAGACAAAGGAGGCTGCCACCGCCTGGCTCCCCTCAAAGGCAGAATTACTCATTTCAGGGGAAACATCCAGAGTGTGATGGGAAATGAATCACTGACGTTCATGAGAGACCACATTATAGGAGAGCACTTTACAGAAGAGGGGCATAGGGGCTGGCGATGAAGGGAAACCAGCCACAAAGGGGACCATTCATCACTCAGCACTTGACAGAGGAGGCCTAGGGAGCAGGGATGGGGAGGAACGGGGCACAGTTCTCCCGTGGGAGCCCAGTTTCAGGGAGCGAATGGCTCCCAGTCCCTCACCAAAGCATTAGGATGAGGCAGCTCACCTGCACAGGTCGGAAGTGGAGGATGGAGGCGGGGCTGCCCTCACTTCAGCTCCTGCCCTTCCCCTGCTCCCTACAGTGAATTGATGCGCCCCCTCGCCCTTGCCTTGAACAAAGACACTGCCACTCACTTGGCTGTGGGTAGGGTGGGCAGGCTGCCAGGGAAAGTCTTGCACACCTTCATCCCACCTTGCAGTCAGGGACCCTCACCCACCACCACTCCTGTCTCGCCCACCAGCCCAGTCTACACAGAGGAGGTGGTGACATGGCCCGCTCTCTGGGAGGGTCGGTGGGGGGGTGGGGGGTGGAGTTGAGCCTGTGAACGGGATGTGGCGAGGCCCTCCTGCCCTGCCTTATTTGACAAATAGTGGACAGCTGAATGGAAGAAGGGCAGACTGCATTTCCATTTTGAAGATATGAGAACCTGAATCCCCAAGAGGTTAGGTGACATGACTGTGCCACTCTGTCAGCGACATAAGAGATGGGGCAGGGCTGCACAATATAGTGAGAAGAGCAGGCACCTTTGACCATGAAGTCCTAGTTCCAAATCCAGGTCTGTCTCTTGCTTGCTGTGTGACATAGAGGAAGCTCCTTAACTTCTCTGAGCCTGTTTCCTGATCTGTAAGATAAGGAAAATAAGTCCCATTGTGAGGCCAAAGCGAGAACACCTGTGCACACGGCCCGGCCCAGCTCCTGGCCGTGAGCTCCATGCTCCACGCGTGCTGCTTTCCTTCCTTCTCTAGCCACATGCCTGATGACCACATCCAAACGTGTCAGGACTGCCACACCATGCTGCACCCCCGCTGGGAAATGGCACCCTCCCTAGACTGCCCTTCCCCGGCCTTGCTGTTCTGCATAGCTCAAGCTATAATTTCTGCTGGGATAATTGACTTAGGGGACGGACCCATTAGATAAAGGTTCTTGAAGTTTTTCTGGATCATGGACTGCTTTGAAAATCTAATGAAAGATATGGATTCCTCTTCCCAAGAAAAAAATGAACGCTCACACATCCACCACCCACAGTTTCCCATAGAATTTCAGGGGACTCCCAGGAACTCTGAAACCACACCCAAAACTCCTTTACCAGACGGAAGGTTGGGATGTGTGAGCATAGACCCAGCATTATGGGTGACTTGTTGTATAGCCCAAACAGTCTTTCCCTTGTGCAATGGCCAGGCAGAGCCTCTGAATGTACCCAGTGGGGTGAGAATGAGAAGTTTGGGAACGTGAGTGAGTGGTCGGGAAGGTGACCCTGCAGAAAAGGTGGCAGCATTGAGCTGGCTTGGCCTGGAGGAGAGAGAGCAGTGACGATCGGCTGAGAAGGGCTTAAACACCAGAGTGGCCACCGCCTCTTCTCCCCTTGCACTAAGGATTCAACAAGAGGAAAAAAAAAGTTATCAGACAGAATTAAAACCCTCCAGCAGGGAAAGTAGGTGAACAACAGAACAGAAGTTATGGGCTCTCTGAACTCAAATGCTTTTGAAAAACAGGGCAGACATGCATTTTCTTGGTGTGGCTGAGGTCTTAGCAGTGTGCGTAGGAGACTGGCCTCACTGACCATTCCTGCTGCAGCAACACTCAGTCTGGAGAAATAGAGGCCCCGTGGGATTGTGCCACCACCAGTTTTAGAGCGGAGCTGTCTCATAAAGTTGCTGCTACCTGGTTCCTTTTCTCCACCAGTATCTGAGTGAGCGTTTCAAGGGCGGGCTTGGGGCCTCTGAGCCCAGGTGGGCATTGCTGCACTCCCAGAGCTGTGCAAGAGGAGAGACAGGCCTATCTGGCTTTGATGGAGCCCAGGGCACAGGCCAGCATGGGGCTGCCAGACTTAGCCACAAGCTCTGAATTCTCAACTCCTGTTCTGGAAGAATGTCCTGACTTTGCTAAGTGGAGAAAGGTTTGTCCCCTCATGAACAGGTCTTTAAGGCCTTATAGACTCTAAATTTTTTATTTTTTAAATTTTTTTTTACTTTTTTTTTTTGTGACCGGTAAGGGGATTGCAAGCCTTGGCTTGGTGTCGCCTGCACCGCGCTCAGCCAGTGAGCGCACCGGCCATCCTTATATAGGATCTGAACCCGCGGTGGGAGCGCTGCTGCGCTCCCAGCGCTGCACTCTACCGAGCGCCCCACGGGGCCAGCCCTAGACTCTAAATTTTTTATTTTTAAAATTTTTTTTTACTTTTTTTTTTTGTGACCGGTAAGGGGATTGCAAGCCTTGGCTTGGTGTCGCCTGCACCGCGCTCAGCCAGTGAGCGCACCGGCCATCCTTATATAGGATCTGAACCCGCGGTGGGAGCGCTGCTGCGCTCCCAGCGCTGCACTCTACCGAGTGCGCCACGGGGCCAGCCCTAGACTCTAAATTTTTTAAAATGCAATTCTCAAAATTTAACAGCCATAGAATGACATTTTATTACCACTGAGGAAAAACCTAAACCCTTGGTTTTATACTATCACCTACCGACAGGACCACAATAGTTGGAACCTGTTAAATTGTTAATATGGGGAAGAGGGTCTTCTGTTCTTTTTCTGCTACAGGCCCACTTTGGATACCAGCCAGGGCCGTTTTGCCCCTATTGTGTGGCACCATGTGGGAACAAATCCAATTCCAGAATTCCAGAATCACGTAACTATAAATTCCAAAGGTCCAAAGGTAACATGCCTGTTCATAACATAGGGACTTTTCCTTTTTATTCAGCCTCCTGTAAGTAATAATGTTTATTGGACCCATGTTTTGTATCCTCTCGTTTTTGATCTGCTTACTTGGGGTGACTCAGAGCCTCCTCTTTCACCTAATGATACTGCTGACACTGGAGGGCTCCGGGTCCATCACAAGATTGCAGAATAAATTATAGTACTAATTTTACTGCTAGCAACTTTTGCATTCCCTTTCAACCACAATGGTATATAAATCATATTTTTATAGCTTTTAATCATATTATAAGCTGTGGAACACCAAATATTTATTCAAACTGCAGGAGTCGGTGGAAATTCTAAATGGGAAAACAATCATCCTAAATCCGATATTCCTGTCTGTTCTCACCCTCGGATATTGGAAATAGTCTGGACTTTAATTGGGTCTCTCGCCATTCTAATAATTTTACAGAAAATAAATTATGTTGGATAGCTGCTGTTACCATCGACTAAGTTAGGATCCATATATATTTGCCATCTCCTCTACACTCTGATATCTCTAATCTTAATGTTTCTCGTATGTTTATATTAAAACAGAGAGCAGAAGCTTGGTTACCTGTTAACCTCACAGGACAATGGATGGGGAATTCTGCCCTGGAGCAAGTCACCTCTGCTCTAGAGAGAGTGCACCCTGAGAGATTCTTGGACATTCTTATGGCCTCTACAGCTACAACTGCTATAGCAGTGACTGCTCTCATTCTATCCAAATGGCACAAAGAATGGCTCTTTTCAGTCTATGACCTCTGAGCTTCTATCTCAAACTAAACTTTAATTCCTCCATGACATGGATGTACAAACTTTTCATTCTGGAACTTTTCATTCTGATTTACATGGAACTTTTCATTCTGATTTACATGGAGATATTCAAAACTTAATAATTAAAATTCTACAACAAATGACACAGCTTCAAGAAGAAGCTCAAAAGATTACTATTAATCATTTAAATGATTTGGCCCATTGGCTTTTATCCTACCCTGTGGTTTTCTGGTTTAAACATAAGAATTTGGATTAATGCAGAAATTAGTGTCTTATGTATCTTGTGTTTTCTTATAGTGAGTAAACTGTTATGTTCCATGTTCCAATGGACTCGTCAAGCTGAAATAATGCTGACACTTCTTCATCAGAACATCTTTGACTCCGACTCCGTTGACTCCGACTCCTTGGCAGCTTCCAATTTTTAAAATAAATAAATAGGGGGGAAATGTGGAGGGTTAGAAATCTTGATTCTCATTTGATTTTAGAATGGGGTTTTTAGGTAAATGCATGTATGTTGCAAAAGCCCTCGGGTAGGGGCCACAGCCCATAGATAGCATGGCAAAACCCCATTTAATCAATTCTAATTATATAATGTTGATTATCATTTGATTTTTAGAATAGGGTTTTTAGGTAAATGCATGTATGGGGCAAAAGCCCTTGGGTAGGGTGCCACAGCCCACAGATAGTGTGTCAAAAGCCCATCTAATCAACTCTAATCACTGCTTAGGTATGGAATTGTGTACTTTAATGATTTTAGAGCTAACAGGTGGTTGTCATATTGATCCTGTTAAGAGATTTTAAGAATTGCTAAAGGGAAAGATGTGAAAAAAATGTTTGCTAGGGGCAAGCTGTCAGTTGGGGGAAACTTAAGAGATAACTGTACTTAGATTTTATCATAAGAATGTAACTTTTGCTTAAGGAGAGGTTATGCTTTAGATAATGAGCCAGTTTGACCAACTTAGCTTTTCAGTAATTGTACTTTGGAATGTCACTTTGTTAATTTCACTGATGTCACTAGTTTCCATTGTTAAGCTATACTTAGCCATAGATAACTTTTGTAACACCGCCCATGTCTTTTGTGTCCTTTTGTAATGATTGAATCAACTGATTTTCCTTGTGAAACTTCCCTGTTTTTACAATAAAAAACAGAAGCTAACTTTGAATGGCTGCTGTACCCAGCTTTCTTCTTCTAACAGGGGAGTTGCTGGGGTCCAGACCCTTTGGACTTCTCATCGCATTCACGGTGCTTTGAGTAATCCTTTTTTTCATCTCTGTTACACAGTGAGAAGTGTAACAGCTAAGCACACTGACTCTATGGCCACCTTGACCTTGGGCTCATCCTTCCTGCATCAAAAATTACAAAACAAAACAAACAAACAAAAGATTTCAAAGCCACATTTAGTAGAAAATTTGGGGAAGATAGAACACCAATACAGAAAAGAATAATTTAGAAAACCAATAAAGAAAAGAAGAAAATAAAAAGCACCTACGATTCTACCAACCCACATTTAGACACTATTAACATTTGGTGAGCTCTTTACCATTTGTCTTTTTTTTCTTCCCTTTTCAGTAGCATTTAAGTTATATATCCTCGAACTTACTGGGGCTTGGAGCTCTTTGCCTCAGTTTTCCTGTTTAGAAAAACAAAATTATCCAACTGCTTTCATGTGGTTACTTCATCTATTAGCCTGGAGAGATGCACATCTGCCCATTATAGGCAGCTAGGATGAAAAAGCCGGAGTAATGGGCACGAAGCCATGCAGCAGGCTGGTGGAACCCTGGGGCTCCTAGAAAAATTTCAATAGAAAATTTCAAAGAAAAATTTCAAAATATCAATGAAAAATTTCACTAGAACCACACATGACAGATCCGTCCAAGGTCTTTCTGAGAACTGTGCTTGTACTTCTGTGATGCAAAATTGGAGCAGCGACCAATCCCAAGAAAGAGTTTACAATTTGCTTTTTGAGCTGATCACGCGTTCGGACAGAACTTCCTCTTTTCCACATCGTCCCTGTCCCGTTCACCTTCAGTGCAGACAGCTGTCCTGACCTTCCTTAAGGAAATGAGGCTCACTGCTTGTGTGGCAAACAACAGTAAATTCAGCGTTTGCTTTAGACTGTGTTGGGGGTCTTTGTGTGCTTCCCCGTGACCCGGGTCTCACTCCAGTCATCTCTGTGGCCAGCGGACTATTGCTCCCTTTTGAGATCCTTCTTCATTTCTGGGGAGCTTTTCCCAAGCCTCCTGGGGGGTGACAGGGCCCTGCTTATTTACCAAGTTGCTCAGAGGTCTCCACTCGAAAGCGATTGGCCTCATGTGGTTGGTACGCATCCCCTTGCTTTTCTGGTTGAGAATTTCCTTCTCTTAAAATTGTCTGTAGTACGAGTGTGCAGAGCTGCTGACCTCTGTTCATGCGACCAGATCGCGGCTGGCAGGGCATCCCTTCCAACTTCCATCTCTCGGCCAGATGCCGTCATTCTCCAAACTCTTCTGGATTTCGTCTTGTTTTGGAAATCAGAGCCCGGTTTGAGTAACGAGAACTTCTGGGAAAAATTACCAAACATTCACTATTTGGCAGGAACATCTGTCACCTTGGGCTTGTCACCGCCCGTCCATGCTCACTCTTGGATGGGGCAGTGGGTGGACCCCACACTCCTCCCCACTTCCCCAGTCTTCCCCCAAAGCTTTTTCTACCTCACGTTAGGCATGACTTCAAGCCAACACTGAATAAGCGCTGATTTCCTGGACCACAGGGGCAGCTACCGTATGGCATCCTAGCCGCACACAGTTAGTGCGCCTTTCCTGGCACTCTACAGCAGGCCAAGTGAGCTCTCCTGAAAGCCTTTGACTGCAAGTGCAGTCATTGTGCTTTCTCTTATGTATTTGAAATCAGGGCCTCTTGAATCCTACCTGCAAATTTATGCAAACAATATGCAAAAACTTGTGACAAAAATTAGCGAAGAAGACCTTTTTGCAGGTGCACCTAATACCTAGCAGGGGACTATTTAAAGGTGGGGGCGCAGGTGAGAGTTGAAGCAGAGGAGAGGAGAGGAGAGAGGGGTTTGGTTGGTGTCTGCAGCAGTGATGGAAGACCTTGGGGTCTTCCTCCTACCCTATCTTCCGACTTGGGAGTAGCCAGTAAAGGTGCAAAAGAGAGTAAGGGGCTTCCCGTCTCTTTCTCACTGTGGAGGCATCTTCAGAACTGGGGTGAGGAGGGAATCTATTAGCCACCCTTTGAATTATTCCAGATGCCACATCTGGTACTGAGGATAAGTTTGGGAGGGTCCCCAAGTCCTCTGACCTCCCCATGCCATTACATTTACACCAAACTATGCCACTTTATAGTAACTTCAAATTAAAAGATTTAAATTGTCCCCCTGGGAAGTCAGGCTTTGTGGATTTTACTTTTCTGTGATTCTTCTCTGAACATCATTGAACCATTTAAACGTTGTCTTAAAATGTGAAGGTTCTTCAGTGATCATCTGGTTTGACCCCTTTGTTTTACACACGAGGAAACTAAGACACTGAGAAGCGGCTCACCCCAGTTCGCAGACCTCGACTCTCAGTCACACTTCTCATTCAACAGCAGGTCCTCAGCAATCTGGGCGTCATTTGAGATATTCTGGGAGCAAAAAATGCTTTTCTTTTAAAGGGTCAAGAGCCACGTTACGAGTATACACCACTGTCATTGCTAAGAAATTGTGTGACTTATGGACATCGCCAGCTTCTAATTGTGCTTTTCAAAAGACCAGGCAGTCGGCTGGGCTGCGGTGGTCGCTCTAAGTCTTGTAAACAACTTCTGGGCTGTCCAAAAGGGCCCAGGTTTTGTGATCACTCTACCCTTTGGCTGTTCATGGCAGTAATGCAGCTGGGGGTTGGGGGAGGAAGAGAAAGAAGGCAATGGCAGAGTGGGGGCGGGGTTGATAAAGGTCAACATTTATTGAGCACCAACTCTATTCCTGACATTATGCTTAGTGCTTTACGCAATATTATCCCCATTTTACAGATTGAGGAAATCGAGGTTGAGGGAGGCTAAGTAATTTGCCCAAAGTCTCACATCTAGTAAGTAAGAGGATCCAGGATTTAAACTTGTGGCTTTCTGATTTCAGAGCCCAAGCTTGTCACTACCATGGTCATAAGGCCATGGTGTAGGGAGAAGGTCAGGTTTCCAGGAAACTTCTAAATGGCCACAGCAAAGAATGACTGTCTTATGTCCTGCTCTTTGGATGAGTGGCCTTGAGGGGACTTTGAGCACCACAGTGTGCGAGAAGGTGAGGGGAGGAGGGACCCGCACTGGGCAGCACCTGCTCCGCCTCGCCCACTTTTCCTGGGGCTGACAGACTGAGGCTTTTCCTGAAGGTGTGGTCTGAGGGTCTTGGGGTGTTACTTTTGTTCTGGTGGAGGCAGTTTTCAGGCTCAGATAAAACGACAAGCATGTCTTAGGCCCTCTCTGTCCGTTCTTGAGCCAGTAAGCAAGCACGGCCACTGACCTGACAGACCTCGCTCATACTCCGAGATCCATAACCTAGCTCAACAAAACTTTTTGTAGATTATCTACGGAAATTTTTACGACCCTTAATCTTTTCCACTTCTCAGCTGTAGCTTTAACTCATGGAGAGGGTGGGCTGCTTAGCACTTGGGCTAAAGTTTTTGGGAAGGATATGGAAGCCAAAGACTGACAGGAGGTTTTGGCATTATTTGTGACTATCCCTTCTCCCTGCTATTCCATTTCCTTGGGCACTGAAGCTAGGCTCGTGATGTAGGGCCGCTGTTCACTTTGAAATCTGTCCCAGCATCCTCAGCTCAACCGTGAACTAACTGCCAGTTGCCCCTTGCCCACCCCAACGGAATTAACGGAAGTGTCCACAACCCTCCCCCGACTTCCCTGGTCAGAACCAGGTCCTTAGCAGACACGAGCTCTTCCTTCTTCTGAGACAGCCTCCCTCCTGTCTTGGAGTAAGAAGCCCTCTCCTGTGGAGGCCAAGCTTCAGACAGAGAAGTTGGGACATTCATTTATT